GTTTATGAAGGGAAAAATACCATTCTCGTTTAAGTTCTAAATAAAAAAAGTCCGTTTGTAAGATGGATTCGTAATCTATTTCAATAGGTTTTGCTTCAGGCTCAACTGGCATAAGACAGTTCTACGTCAATAGCACAACGATAGGAGCTCAGAAGCGGCCTTCATCTCCAGTAGTACAGGCGGCCAAAAAAGGGCGAGAAAGTGTCAGTGTGCTGAGCGTCTTGGAACAGTTCTAAATCTTGTGATACTGGAGGTCTCGGTTTTTTATTTCGAATATAGCATGTGAATTATGTTGATTCTGAAGTTTTTCTTTGATTCTGCTTCAAGATGACTTTCAGCACCATAGTGCTTTTCTAATGTTCTGTAGCCACATATTCATCAGAACTCGTGTATCTTGTAGTGAAAACTGTATTCATTTTCGTTTTTACAAGTAGGTTGTGAACAGAATGATTCATGATGGGACATATGATAGTTAACTTCGAAGTGGTGCTCATTTTCACTGCTCTGTACATATCTGTAGTAAAATATCTGATGGCGAATGTTATACTGCATTTATCTTACCACATAATTGGTGTGACATATTGCTACATCTTTGTCTACAAAGTCTAAAATCATTAGTTAGCCATTTGTTTCAAGAGCTTGGCTATGCTACATTGTCTAATTGGCCTTAGACGACGACAGATATTTAGCGCTATTTCGAATGGTATGTTGCATTACCCAATTTTTTTTTCACAGTGATAGTTCATTTCCGACAAAGTGTCACTTGTTATCTCTTGAATATTAGCGTCGATAATTCTATCCCGACATGCTGCGGTTGGTTCGAAGGTCGTACCAATGAAGGCAAACAAAGGTGCAATAGAAGAAGATGCCGAGAAACTGGCTCACTATGTTTGCATCAATTATTTTATCCAAGGTAACTGATTGTCAAATCTTCTTAAACGCTTGTCCACTTATTACTGAGTACTTTTCCCTTATCTCGATCCGTTTTTCAACACTGGAGGCAAGACGTTTTCTCCTTTCTTCTCGGAGTCTCAGTAGTCATTTGATAGCCGAAACTCCGGCCAATCTAGTACCATATTTGGTTTGTGAAAAGGTATTCCTAGTGGTTATAGTAGCGAAAACAAAATTGAGTTCAACACTCGGCGCGCAGTTTTGCTTGGTTAACGTGTGGCTGTAAGGATGGATTTCTCAGTGTTCGCAGTAAACAGCATCGAGGCACTGTATCTTATGAGATTTTTGGTAGTTTTCTGATGATATGAATTTAAATGATTATGAAGAAGTTTGGTTTCGAGGAGATTTTTACAGAGCGCGGAAAGAGTGAAAAGATGATTATATTTCGCACTACTAGACATGAGCTGCTTGAAAATGAAAGTCTGAATCCATAGAACGATAGAACAAAGTTCCTTCTACAATTCCAATACTCAGAAATTTGTGCGCAACAAGAGAAATTTTTGAATAAATAACGATAATACGCGCGATAATACGTGCCGAGTGTAAAATTGAAATCTGTCTTCGCTGTTACAGCGCAATAAGGTCTTTTAAGAAATCAATTACATATTGAAATCATCGATATTTAAGCTGGGGACGCCGCGGCCAAATGGGTGTGATGTTGGTCATGGCGCGCGTGGAGCCGAGCTCCACGCCCACTTCTCTCCGGCAGTCAACAGCAGCGTCCTATGGGGCACCACAGGAAGGCTATCCTCGAGCTTGCAAGGAGATTCGCTCAACCAGTATTCCACCCCCTTCAAAAAGAAGAAAAAACATTATTGAATGATAGAAGTATTGGGATCCGCACACTGAAAAAAAACTGTGATGACGGATCAAATAAAGTGCTATAAAGCTAAAGATATCTGAGCTACTGAGTTACTATTGAAAGTATGAAGAACGGCGAAAAGGCCTTGTCCACAGGGTGAAAAGAGGATTGCTACAACATAATTGTATCTACTATTCTTTGTTAAGTCGTTGCACTTTATCTTTGACTCCAGTCATTCTTTTTTTTTTAAATGAAGCTTTTCCAGCCCCTAATTCATATTTCTAGATAAGCATTAATTGGAGTCTCATTAAGATTCAGTAGTTTCTTTAAGAGCAAAAGTAATATACTTATTGAAGTTTCACTAGGAATGTAACTCATTTTTTTACATGCCAAGAGGTTGCATTCCGTAATTTGAATAGACACGGACTAGTAAGTTCACACTTTTCAGGTGAAGAACCTGGGCCGAAAATACTTCCGGACTCCGAATACCCTTCCTGGCTTTTTGAACTAGATTTACGAAAACCGCCACCCCTTGAAGATCTGGATCCCGAGAAGGTTTTGGAGCATCGTTTGCCATCGACGTTTCATTTACGTCTTGCTTATTGAGGACAGTGTGCGCTTTTCAGGATGGTTGGCTTTACTGGAGGGCTCTTCGATTAAGACAGATTGAACAGAATCGACGAATACAGAAGTTAAAAAGGAGGTATGACAGACTGTTGCTGTAGCCGTTAAAACATATAATTAGCTATGAAAATTACACAACATACCCAAGGAGGGGGGGGGAGAGCCGCGTCGTCAATAACAAATTTTAGGAAAGTTTCGTCGTATTGCCTGAGAAAATTATCTTTACATATCGTGTTCTTTGGCATCGAACGATATATCATTTCTGAGGAGTTTGAAGCAACTCGCTGCACAAACAATTCAAATTTTGTCACCATACACCTTGCAGATTTGTCGATGACCTCAGAAACGTTGGCACACATTTTATAGTGAAAGTGGAGCAGCAAACGAATTTCTCCCTTGGAGAGTTCCTTATCTAAAGGCTGTGTAGACAAGTGATGTATTGTTCGATGCACATGAAAACGAGCTTTTTGATGAACTCAATTGGCACAAAATATATGTGTAGAAATCATTTTCTCAGGCGAATACGGCAGAACCTTTTCTGCTGTCTACTAGCTTCGTCTCTTTCGGAATCAGACACCGCTCAAACAACCGTAAATAACCTGACGAGGATCTCTTGCGGAAAGTAATATACGTTCGTTCTTCAGTTTTAGTCCACTCAAACAAAACACGAACACCTTATCCTATGACTGCCGGCAATATCAAGCCGACTTTTGGAATTTATCCTCTGCGTAATGACAATGATTTCCAGGTTCCTCCATTTACAAAACAGTCCAAGTATGAGGAAATATAGACAATTTTGATTGGCCTTCAATTAGAAATTCTGTCGATTACATCCGTAGCATACAATTTGTTGTAATTTTTTGTATTGTTATCTATTTAAGCTTGCTTAACTAACTCGATAAAGATATCTTTAGTACCATTTCTTTTCCACACAAATGCAGTGGTAGTGGAAGCAGTTTACAAGGAAAATATTAATTAATTCCATGATGCAGACATGATGAAACTGAATATTTCCGATAAAGCAGGAGATTTTGCAATTTGTTTCATGTACGCAAAAGATTTGAAATCAGTTGTACTGTAAATGCAGCTTGTAAATTTATAGTTACATTTGAAGATTAATACATGGAGCGATCAAGGACATCAATATAAATCGACATGTTCACTGAATAATATATTACTTCGTGAAAATGCCATCAAATGAGCAGTTTCATAGAAAAATGAAAGTGCACTACAGGAAATCCATTGGGTCGTCGCATAAGTTTTGGTCGTCAGATCAATAAGCACCATATTCATTAACCAGAAGTAATTGAAATGAGCATGATTTTCGTATCGTTCAATTGCACAATTTCTTGCGAATATTTTGGTATACAACATGCCTAGCTCGCTTAGAGATGCAGCTGTTTCGGGAACAAATTCGCTTGCTACCCATGGACGAATGGCACGTAGGGGTAGAATGCTAGTGAAGCGGCGCGTCGAAGATTATGGGAACTTGGAGCGATAGCACGATTGGCAGAAATAACGATTAGGAAGTGGGTTCGCGAAGTTTATAGCTGGCAGAGGGCAATCTGGAGGATCAGTCGCTGCTGGCGGCCCTCCACAGGAAGATTCATTAATCTTAGCTCGCCGCTTCACTAGCATTCTTCCATGCGCCGTACTCGTGCATGAGTAGCAAGCGAATTTGTTCCCACGACAGCTCCATCTTAGAGCAAGTATAGGCAAGTTGTATACCAAATTGTTGACAAGAAAATGCGCAATTGAACGATACCAATATTGTTGAATTTCAATTACTTCTGGTTGAGAAAATTTGATGTTTATGGTGTTCAGTCACATAAACGAGACTCGCGTGGCAACTGTCGATCAGTTCACTACACAAACGTCTATGATTAATCTACAGCACTCAACTTGCAATTCAAGAGTGCCGTAGTCATCAACAATGGACATTTGAGAAAAAACCACTTCTCAAACTCTCACAACATAAGCCCGTCGTTATACGTTACAGCGAAAGTCATTTGTTTACATTAATTGTTTATCAAAATAAGAGTCGATGAGCTTTCTGAAAAAGCGATTCATTGCGAATTATTAAGCGTACAGGACGTCGCCTTCGCTCCAACACCTCGTATTTTAATTCGGTTTCGACTAGCTATTAGCTCTCGGGTAAGAAAAGAACCCACAGAAGTCAAGGGGGATCGTATACCACGTTTACTAGCATATAAGGCAATACGCCATGGGTACCATACAATCAGTGCTAGTTAGAAGAGATCAAATTTTCCATCGTAAAAATGTCATAACAGCAGCTTCACGGCAATCTTGCCGTGACCGCTTGGCGCAATAGTAGCGCGTTCGACTCCAGATCGAAAGGTTGGGCGTTCGATCCGCTCAGTGGTCATACGTTTTGAAATTGTTACCTACGGCAATAAAAGATCCTTATTCCATTTTGTCATGGCGAAGGTACTTCGACATCACTACGCTCACCTTTGTGGACAGTGAGGACCGCTTGGGCCCGTTATCGTTCTTGTCAAAACGAATTCCACTATGAACATCGATCAGTTTGAACAACTAAGAAGCTGGCTACAGCAATCATACCAAAGATATTTAGTTTTGTAAGTGATGACTTCAAACTCTCTGACCGCTGAGCGGATTGAACGCCCCAACTCTTTCGATCTGGAGTAGAACGCGCTACCATTTGCGCCAAGCGGTCATCGATGCCAAGAAAGGTGGAAGTACTGGTGTTGTGTTATTATTGCAAAGATAAATTTGAATAATGATACTGCGCAGTACATCAAACGTCCAGCCACTGAGGAAGGCGATGTCGACGAAACGACAGTTATCGAAGTGGTATTACTCACTACCAAAGATATCCACCTTCTCAAATATCACCTGTATCACCTGTCGTCCCTCTGATCGTTGAGTGACTCGAGCTGGTACCAGCAACTCTTCCATTTTTCCCTATCACGTGCAAGAGTAGCCCAGTGGGTCCACCTCGCTCTAGAGATTCGCAGAGCATCATATCTTTCTTCTATCGCTTTCGTGAAGAAATCGCACCAACGGGTCAGTGGTCTTCCTTTAGTGCGCTTGATGTCCCGAGGGATCCAGTCGGTAACGGCTCTCGTCCATCGGTTGTCGTTGAAGCGCATCACGTGTCCGGCCCACCTTATTTTTAATATCCTGGCGTGTAGGACGGCGTCTCTGATTTTCGATCGTTGACGTAGGTCGGAACTTCGGATCCTTTCTCTCATTTGCGAGTCACGGGATACTCCTAGCATCGACCTTTCGACTGCGCGTTCAATAACGCCAAGTGAACTTTCATCCTGCTTACGTAGCGACCAGGTTTCTGCCGCATATGTTAGGGCAGGGATAATCGTTGAGTCGAAAAGGTGGGCACGGAGTCGGACGTTCTTTGTCCTCTTCACTACATCTTCGATGCTCTTAAACGTTCCCCAAGCCGCTCGTTTCCTCCTGCTCAACTCTGGAGTTGGGTCGCTCATCATGTTGATATCACGACCTAGATAGACGTAACTGGAGCTTCGGAAAATTATCGTTCCGTTGAGCGTGAATGGGGCATTCAAAGCCCATCTGTTCCTCATGAACATCGTATTCGTTGGATTTAGTTGAAGACCAATCTTTCCACAGGCGTTATCAAAATCGGTCATCATTCGTTCCGCTTGGCTGACGTTTGGTGTCATGAGAATCATATCATCAGCAAAGCGAAGATAGCTCAATTGTCGACCCGTCGATTTTCACTCCCATATCGTCCCATTCTAATTTTCGCATGACGTTTTGTAGGGTGGCAGTGAATAGTTTTGGCGAAATTGTATCGCCTTGTCGAACCCCTCTTCTTACGTCAATGGTGATATTGCTGTAGAATGGAGACATTTTGGTCGTGCAATCTTCTTAAAGCTCACGAAGGATCATTATGTACCGAGTAGGGACGCCCTGGTTATCCAGAGCCTCTATAACCGCCTTCTGTTTTCACTGAATCGAAGGCTTTCTTCAGATCGACGAAAGTGAGACAGAGTGGTTGCTTGTACTCTCGTGAAACTTCAGTGAGTCTTGTAATCGTGTGGATGTGGTCTATGGTACTAAATTCTTTGTTCGCATGGCTGTGCTTTGTCCAGTGTTCTCTCAATCGTGTTTAGGATGACTCGAGTAAAGAGTTTATAGACAACGGACAGCAAGCAGATTGGGCGATAACTGCCTATGTCGTGAAGTTCTCCCTTTTTGAACAACAATGTGGTCTTGCTGGTTTTACATTGAATAGGGACTTTGCATTCTGACAGGTAGCGAGTGAAGAGCCGAGCCACGGTGTTGATAAGAACTGGCGGCAGGTTCTTCAGGTGTTCTGGTCTAATCCTGTCTGGACCGGGTGTTGTTTTGTTCTTCACCGACGATATAGCATGTCGGATTTCGGAAGGGAGGACCGCTGGGACGTCATATTCGTCCTCTTTCAATTTATATGACGGTAAGAGGACATGGCTAGCAAAGAGATCCGAGTAGTATTGGTGGATGATTTTCTCCATAGCCCTCCTCGAAGCTGTAAGTGTCCCGTCAGGGTATCGGAGTGCAATGATTTGGTCTTATAGTTGGAGAAGCCTTGCTGGGCTTTGCGAATGCTCTTCCCAGCTTCTGCAGCTTCTTCCATGACTGGTGCTCGTCTCTCTTTAAGGTGTTCTTTTATCGCTTCTCTGCAGCGTTTCGCAAGTTCGGACGTAAGGTTTTGGTTGCCTGTAGCTCGTGCGATTCCACGTTGACGTATCAGCTCAAGTGTCTGCGGAGACAAGCGTCTCTTCGTGACCTTAGGACTCTCGGCTTCTATAGCGCTAACGTGAAGATATTCAACGAGTCGATCGTATTCTTCGTCGATGTTGTCGACAATGGTATCTTCCCAAGAGCAGACTAATGATTTGAATACATCCCAGTTTATGGTAGTTCTGGGACTTCGTTGTTTGAATTTAGCGGCTTTCTCTCCTCTCCTCGAAAAACGGAACGTTGCGCAAAGGAGGCGATGGTCTAATCTCGAGTAGAACTTGGGAACAACAGCGACATCGGTTAGGCAAAACCTTCGATTTACTAAGATGTAGTCTATTTCGTTATGGTACTCTCCATTGGGAGACTCCCACGTCCATCGCTGAGAAAAGGCTTCTGGAATTGCGAGTTACCATGGATGGTTCGAGTCGTTATGATAAACTCAGATAGCCTCTCACCCTGTTCATTCCATTTTAGTCTGTGGGTCCCTATGTGACGTTCTTCAGACGTTCTTCTAGGTCCAATTTTTGCGTTGAAATCTCCGACAATGACCTTGAAGAATGTATGATCTTTTCTGGAGAAATTTTCGAGGTCCATAGAGAACGCTTCGACTTCGTCTTCGTTATAGCTTGAGTTGGTGCGTAAGCAACGAAGATGGTCAAAGCCGGCATAGAACCACGTCGTTTCAGCCGTAGTCGTCCGATACGGGTTGTTAGTTGTTCAAACGAATCAATGTTCACGGTCACATTCGATTTGACGAGGACGCCAACGCCGCCGGACACCTCTGCGATCGCATGTTCCAAGGAACAGTTCTTCTCCGGTGTCATAAACAGCGTGAAAAGGATGGCGCCTTCTCGTCTCAGCCAGGCCAATGACGTTGTACCTTATTCTTCTTGCTTGAATCAATAGATCTTCTACAGCGGATTTGTGAGCAAGGGTTCTTGCGTTGTAGGTACAGATCGTCATTTTAGTCCGTTTCGATCTTGGCAGCCTAGTTCGGCCCTGAGATTTTAGCAGCCCCTCCGTACTCGTCCTACCTCGCGCTGCCGTACCAGGGGCTCTTTCGGGGTCAGGGAATGAGGCCCAATTTGTTACTGTTTTGGCATTTTAATACCCAACGTATAGCTTGCCAGGCTCTAAACGTGGGGGCTGGGTACTCACGAGTAGCTTGCCAGTCTCTCTCGGAGGAGCGGGAGGAGCTTATTTGTTGGAGGCGACTCCTAACCGCCTCCCATGTACATCCCAGCCGCTTGATTGCAGGCTCTTGGCCGACTTGACTCGTAGAAATAGAGTACTTGTCAAGTCGGCGCTGCAGAGGCAGGGTTGCTATCCCCTAAATCCACCTGCGTTTCTGGGAAGCACACGGTGGCTTTGGTTCGCGTTTTTTTGCCCTATCCACCACCTGGGGACGCGCCACGTGCCCTCGCTACTAACCGGGCGGGATCCCTCTAAGAGGGAGGTCCGTGGACTTTCCGTGTGATGCTTTGGTATTTCACAAATTGACGTTCTCAAGTAGTGATGGTAAAACCATTGACCACTGAAGCGGATCGTACGCCCAACCTTTCCATCTGGAGTCAAACGCGCTGCCATTGCGCCAAGCGGTCATCGATACCAGGAAAGGTAGAAGTAGCGATGTTGTGTTACTATTTCAAAGATAAATCTAAATAAAGATATTGCGCAGTACATCAAACGTCCAGCCACTGAGGAAGGCGATGTCGACGAAACGACAGTTATCGAAGTGGTATTACTGACTAGTAAAGATATCTAGTTTCCCAAGTAGTAATGGAAAAAGCATTGACCACTGAGCGGATCGAACGCCCAACCTTTCGATCTGGAGTCGAACGCGCTACCATTGCGCCAAGTTGTTCTCAGTTTTTTCAAAAGTGAAAGCAAGTGGTGTCGTGCTATACCATGATATACTCGAATAAGCATCTTTAGTTCCATTCATCTAATAATTTGCCGTCTAAAAGACCTAACAAAAGCGTTAGGAGATATTCATTCAGTTGATTACGGTGGGACGATGTGGTTTTGTTTACTCACTACATAAGCTTTAACGAGGACGCCGTCGAGGGCGCTCTAGATAGTCTTGGAAAAGATCACGAGTACTTGGATATAAGAATTTCATTTTTTCCTATTGCGTGCAAGAGCAGCCCAGGTGGTCCTCCTCGTTCTAGGAATTTGTTGAGCTTCATATCTTTCCTTTAGGCTTTTCGTGAAGAAATCGAACTCATTGAGTTGGTGGTCTTCCCGTGCTGCACTCGACATTCTGAAAAATTCACTCGGTAGGAGCTCTCGTTCCTCGGTTGCCGTTGAAACACTTTGTGTTCTCCTTGCGCACTCTTATCTTCCATAACTTGATAGGCTGGACGGCATATTTGCTTTCCCATCGTTGAGCAGTGTCAAAATCACAGATCTTTTCTCTCGCTTGAGAGACACACCTGGCATCGACCGTTTCACTGCGCTTTTGTTGTCGGTCGTCTAATTAACATGCTAAACGAGACTAGAAAAAACACTGAAGGAAGGACAGCCATGCGGTCAAGCGGGGCTTAAGGGATTCGTGTTTTGGACCACGTCCACGCGATAAGAAAATCCATAAAAGCTTCACGAGAGCACGAGCACAAGAGACCGCTCTGCGCGAAGGAATCAGTATTTTCGCAAGCGAGAGGTGAAAACAGAAGTTTCAGTGGCACCCGCTCAAATCACTTGACGATCAAATTAGCGACAGGTAATACTTACGAAACTGAAGAAACTTCTTGACTTCATCCTGGAAAGGTACCACAGCACCACTGTTTGTCTCTTCCAGGGCTCATAGGACCGCTTGGCGCAATGGTAGCGCGTTCGACTCCAGATCGAAAGGTTGGGCGTTCGATCCGCTCAGTGGTCAGTGGTTTTGCATCTAGAACTTACGAAATCCACTGATCATTTTTATTAATTGGTATCGGATGTTTTTTTTTCTCAATATGAGTATCCCAGTACTCCTGTCATTCAATTCCTCTCCTCGCGATCATGGCTTGATTGAGGATTTGTCTCCTTCATGAACATCGTAGAATACTGATTGAGCATAACTTTTGCAATTTCTGGAATAACAAGGCTGGGTGTTCGTTACTGAAGGCCGGATAGTAGTGAGAGGGAGGGAGGAGAAACTCTGCGCCGAGAATCGCTAGCCACCCGGCCATCGTCCCTCACTAACTGGGGTAGTTTTATTTAACTCATGGATTCGATCAAGCCGATGATCTACAGTTGATAGTTGTCGAAGTGTAACTTAGTCGTGAGTCAGTTCTAGTAAAGAAAACGGAGTTTTCTCAGTTGGCAGTACAGAAGACGGACGTTGATCAACTGTCCATCCAATACAATCCACTCTTTTGGCGTTGAGCGCATCCTGTAACAGTCGGCCATTTCAATACCTGCCCTATAGCATGAAAGTATCTTAAGGTTATTCCTTTCTTGTGCGTTAACAGATCTGCGACCATTTAATCACAACGTAGCTAGCCGGTGCATCAAAATCACTACCATTTTAGCAATTAGTAATGAGTTATGACGTGGTGAACTAAGACCTTGAGATTGCGGTCTTATTTTTGGTTTACAAAATGGAAACGGCATTTGAAACGGTTTTGAAAACTTCAATAAATGGCTTACAAAGGCTATATTTCAGACCGTAGGAACACTAGAGGGTCGGCCGCAATTTGGAACGAGCTAAGAAATACTGTGCATCAAAGAACTCTGTCATGCAATATGAGCGAGTAGAAACTCTAATGCTATCCCATTAAATTACTCTATTTCGAATGGGACTCCTTGTTATGCAGGTAAGGTAAGCAATATTCGGAACGAACTTCCATAGCATAAAAAAATTTCTTTATATTTAGAGATGCAGGTGAAAAATTCACGTACATAACAACTTCAGCAACCTCCTCGATCAAAGATCGTGAAATCGAAAAGGATTGTCACCACTTCAAGATCGCATCAAAGTTATTAAATCGGAGTTCGAAAATTTCACCAGCTTTTTACGCGTGTCATAAAACATTTTACCACATGGGAATGTCGTATCTCCTTTGGAAAATCGGTGGATTTCATAAGATAGTAGCCGGATTTTGATCACAAATGAAAAACGATCCAATTTACCGAATTTGGTGGCTCATGGCATCCGAAGCAGAGAATTTCTATATTTGTTTGATCACCTGTCAAATGGTCGTAGTTATAAATGAATATATGTTACCCATTTCTTTTTCTCTGCAACAAATTTATCTAATTTCTTCTGGAGGCGACATACCTGGAGCATTCAAGAAATATTTAGAGACAAAGGGATATTACCAAAGTCGAACGATAGGCACCAGGAACACCGAGCAAACTGCTTTGCCTACTTCCTTCCTAATATATGCAAAAACCTAATTAGCGCTTCCCATCCCCTTTTCAGTCGTTCTTCTCTCGCGATGTCAACATCGTATTTCTTTCCAAGATGTTCTCGCTTAGGACTCTTAGATTGTTCTTAATTGCTTAATGCTTCATAGCTTTGATTAATGCAGTATCCTTCCTTTTCTCTCCCATAATGCTTCAAAAAATTATGTAAAGAAATCCACTCACTTAACTACTGCCCTTATCATTCACATCCTTTCGTCTTCCATATTCATTTCACAAAGTGGCATTCAGTTGTTGGCTATGTAATGGCAAAGTATCACTCGTCTTCTGCAACGCTCTACAGTGCACGCAAAAGTTCTAACGTTACGCGAGTGCAATCGCTTATTAGTTCTTTTGTTCACCGTCAAATGAGCAATGTTTTCGCAACTTCACGATCTTCTGGTTTTCTTATCTATGCAGTAGGACTCGAATGTTCAGCTATTCACTCATGTGACACCATTACTTTCTGCAAAACATCAAAGAACCTACATATCAGTCATATTGCTGTTATATTTGTTATCTGCACAATTACTGATGCGCCTGCATTGTTATTTATGTTACGATTATTGATGTAGAGGCAGGTGAAAAACTTGGGCAGAAAGCACTCCCAGACTTAGAGTATTTTTCCGCGATTTTTTAAGTTGAATTTACGACTACTGCGTCTCCTCAAAGTCTGGATCACGAAAAGATCGCAAATCATTGACTCCCATCGATGCACCATTTGGTCTCGCTTCTTGTGGATAACATTCGTTTTTCATTATGGATTGCTCAACTTGAGAACTCTTTGAATTGGACAAATTGAATAGCTTCATATTATACCTTTCTTTCGAGTGCTTTATTAAGACCCACGCTCAAATTTCAATATATCCTTTCATTATTATTTGAGCCAACATGTCATGGTAAGGGCTCTTGTACAGCCCGAGACACGTGTTTCGTCCTTACAGACTCATCAGCCGGGCAGAACCCGTCGTCTGTCGATCTTTTATAGTCAGTTCTCTCGGAGCGTTACACTCCTTATAGAGAGTTATCGACGACGTACGTTTTACACTCTATGTCAAGTGACATCTTGGCTCAAATAATAATGGAAGGATCTATTAAAATTTGAGCGTGGTCTTAATAAAGCACTCGAAGGAAAGGTATAATTTGATAAAAATACCAGCCAGCTAGCAATCGAGTGCGAAAACTAGGTGAAAATTTTGCTTGACATAGAGTGTGAAACGTACGTCGTCGACAACTATATATAAGGAGTGTAACGCTCCCGAGAGAACTGACTATAAAAAGATCGACGGACGACGGGTTCTGCCAGGCTGATGAGTGCGTAAGGTCGAAACACGTGTCTCGGGAGTACAAGAGCCCTTACCAGACCACATGACATGTTGGCTCAATTAATAATGAAAGGAATGTATAGATTTAACGAATACACAGACTAAAGATGTGGTATGAGAGATTGTTACTGTTGCTATAACGTCCAAACAGCTATGAACAACAATAAACAAAAAATAGGGCATGTGGCGCAGTGGTTAGAGGTGCTCTGCGTCGCACGCGAGGTCAATGGTTCGATATCGAGCTTATGACTCACCAAACCATCTCTTCCTCCGTGGTCGGTAAATTGCTACCAGACACGTCTCAGACTTTCTGGGAGAATAAGCAGAACTGACTCGGTTCAGCGGGAGGCCACCGCGAGTCATTGTAAAGGCCACATATGCATTCAATCACCTCAAACGAAGTCGAAAAGTGAAGACGAATGCATGGCGCATCACTCAAGGATTGATCGACGCCAGAAGGTTGATCCTTCATCCTAACAATCTGATAACATATTTTGAGCCTTCATGGGGTCTGTTATGGCACTTACACAGAGTAAGACACCTATTTCGGCCTTACAGCCTCGTCAGTTGCGCGGTGCCTTTCAAGCCGGTCATTTTCGCGGGGAGACATTTCCTACATGGAGGAACCGACGCCAAAATTTTTACACGTGGCGCTAGGTGCAAAAATCATCCAATGGGCAATCTTGTACATTCGTCTGCTCGTGGATAGTAAAACATATTGCCAAAACTTTCTTTTAGGCTGATTTTTTTTTTTGCTCGAAACCTCACTATAATATAATCTGATGAGCTGATAAAATATTCTGAGCCTATGTCTACTATGGCACTCATCTCATGCAAATATTTCGGCGTCGGTTGCTCTACGTGGGGAATATCTCCCCCGGAACCGA